ACAGGACAGGAGAAATTACTGCCAGAGTTATTAGGAAGATGGAAATATGCTTTCCTCTGTACAACTGTTCTCACCTTAACTTTAAATTCTGGTCTAGAGAGGAACTTACATGTATAAAAGGTCATTAAAAATAAAATTTTTAAATTTAAAAATACAAAAACTATTTCTTATCATATAGAACATTAGCTGCAACTTTCTCTTTACACAGGAGCAGAAAGGAAATAAGGCATTACTTAAAACTCTGAATCTCTGTATGTTATCATACCATCCATTTTTCAGCAGATTTAGAAGGATGATGATGTAATATACTAAACATTATTTTAAAAATTGGAGGTTTTTTCCACAAAATGTGCTTTGGGCCATTGACAGCAAGAGGTCACTTTCAGAACAAATTTAACATTTGGGATATTCACAAAAAGTTATTAAATTTCATCTTAAGAATAACATGCTAATATACTATCCAAAGGGGGATCAGATTTCACACTTCAAAAAGGGTACAACTGAACTGAGTGTTCTCATCCTCTGCTAAAAACCAAATGTCAGTGACTCATCAAGTGGCATATGCTTTAACACAGTAGGATCACCAATTCTCCAGCCCAAGCATAAAAATTAAATCTTTATAAAGCATAAAGTAATTTTGTTGGCAGTTTTTCCCTTGACTCAGGAAATATTTGTGAATCTTGTGAATCTGCCATTTTATGGTTTGGAATTTTTACAATTTCTTTTTCCTCTTTTTGCAAGGGGGCAGAGAGAGGAAGAGAACGTGAATGGCAGGAAATGGGAGACTTGTGAATTATTACTTATGTGCATTTTCCAGAGTGATATATTTAATCTTACCAACTTTGTGATCGCAATGTTTTAATGTACATATGCTTAAGACAACACACAAGAATGATACAATCTTGTAGTAAGATTGTTATAAACAAATGTTTGGGGTTTTGAGCTGATCTCATTGAGCAGATTTTCTGTAATGCCAGAAATGCAGTTGCACAGGCTCAGTTACTGACATAAATCATTCTCTAATTTGTTGATGGCGGGGTTGGGGAGAGAAGATAAATTTCTTTCAAAGTGCAAAGCAACATACAATTTGACCATTAAGTTCCCAAACGATGTGAGTCAACATTTTTTAAAAAGATTCTATCTATGGTGCTCTTCCAAGCATTGTTAGTACAAATTCTAACTGCGTAATTGGTAAGAAGCACAGCTGAGGTCAGTAGAAGTATCTGCTGAGTCAAAAGTATTAAATCAAGTCTTTGTGTGCTAAGTGGTAACATCCAGAAATTGCTGTTAGAAATAAGAACCTCATTTTAGCAAACAGTGTATACACTACACAGAACTACACAAATATGTGTGTGTGTGTGTGTGTGTATGCATTTTTTGATGGCTAATAAACTTAGACTCAGAGTAACTGAGTTTTATGGGTGAATTCTGTAGATCTAAGTTACAATTCTTCTGAATACCCTTTGGCTGCTCAACAGCTTCTGGCTTCAGTTGCCAGAAAAATAAGCTAAGTAGACTATTTTTTTGCTTGGTAGCACAAGGTTTTCTTCAAATCAATGAGATTTCAAGCAGATTTCAAATCAATGAGATCTGAAGTCCCCAGCAATGATCAAAATACAGTAATGAAAAAAAAGGAAAAAAAAAAACAAACAAAACAATAAAAAGCCCTTCAAGGCACTATGAGGGAAGAAGAAATAGGGATGTTTTGACTTATTCTCCTCCTCTTAATTCCTGTAGATACACGCAAGGCAGCATGGCATCCAGCTTTATTCACTAGAGCATGTAAATGGCACCTTAAGCCAGGCAGAAACATGGATCAGACCAAGCATGTGCTGGAGACATAAAAAGCTGGAAGGAGAAATCAGTGCAGTATCTCAGATTTCTTTACACTTTCTATTGGTAGGAACTTGAGATGAGAGAGAAATCTTGCATATTGAACTGCTCTGAAACATACTAAGAAAGTCTTTAAATGACACCAGCTTTACCATTGTTAATTCATTATTAAACTACCTCTAGTAGTCTGGTCATGTTCCAAACTTTAGACTCTTGTTAAGGTCAAACTTTCAAATGCTTGATTTTAATCTCAGATGAGGAACATATCCTTATATAGCTTTAACAAATGTTACTGGGACAATTAAATGAAACTAGCATCATAAAACAGAACAATTCATGAAGGATTACATGGCAAAGCTGTTATCACCTGCATTCATAGCACCACATGAGTTCTATTCCCATATTTAATGGAATAGCATGTGTTCACCTTCCTCGCGAGTATGGATACGGAGTATTAATCAGACTAAATGTAACATCAATCTTTTCAATATATTATCACAACTTTATGAGAGCTGATAGCTAATCAAACTGACCAGCATCCATGCAAATAATAAATTCTGGGTCAGTTCAGAATGACAGTACTGCAACAATGCAAAGTATGATTCATAGATGTCAACAAATAAAATAGTATTTTATTTTCTATCCAGGGGTAGGAAGTTGAAAATAGGCCATCAGCTGATTACTAAAGCCTGTGCTTTTCTCTAGAAAACTCATAATGACATGCAACTGCCAAGAGATTAAACTGAATCCAGGGCTTTCAGAGGTACCAGGGAGAATAAGTTTTTCCTGCAGACTTTATAGCTTTCACAGTTGCTATATTAATCTTGCACCCTAGGTAGTCATGGGTACCACCTACATATACCATATGAGTACAATCTCCTTACTTTTCAGGTAGCATTTATTTACAAATTATCCTGTAATTCCTGAAGCAGGAAAAAAAGACAGAAGTAGCCTTCTCAGATCAATTGTGTCAGAAAGGTTCTTCTATTATTATGCAGGAGGCTCAAAAAAAGTTCGATAGTTCTCTAGCCTTCACAAGCTGAGAAATGAGTTTGTTTTCACTTTGCAGTTTAATTAACCACAGAAATTTCCAAGTTGTTAATGCCAGTTTTTTGTGAAGGTGATTCTGCCAAACCAAACAGCTAATCTGCTCTAGCTGAATTCCAACCAATCTCGTGTATCAGCAAGGTTTACCTGGTGAAGGCTACTGGGAAAGAAGTAACCCTTCTTTTTTTGAAATTTAATCTTACTTCTGTCTTAGTGAGTTATATCATTCAGTAAAAAAAAAAAATTGAACTATATTTAACTGTGAAAAGTACTTAATTTCAAGACCTGGAGACTATGTTTCATGGACTGTTTGTTTAATGAGGCATGCTCTGAATGGTTAAATTAGTATTACTTTCATAGCCCAATGCTTCATAAGCTTATGTTTCATTACAGATTGTACATGTGCTGAATTCTTGTCTAATGACCATGTAACAGGGCACGTTCAATTATTCTCTTTGGGTTTTAGAAAGAAACAGGAAGTTTGGCTATAAACAATGCAGTCATAGAATAAATTTCACCACAGCAAGTTCATCTGAAAAATATGCATTCTTTACAACACAGCCAGGAATGGCATTATGAGAACCAACATCCTGCTGCACTCAGGTTTGTCTTTTTTTTTTAATTTTGTTTTTTTGTATTAATACTTAGGCAATATAAGAAAGAAAACTTTTCGTTAATACTGGATGTTTTGTGATGAGCAGTACTTGAAAGATGTGGATAGTGAATCAAAAGCAGCTGCTAGAAACCACAGATAAAATAACAAGTTTGCTAAATTTAGTATATGTTATGAAATACATAGAGTGGAGGAAGAGTCAGCCGTTGTAAATTTTTATCAGCTGGGAAAGAATTACTACAGAATATTTCACTCTTCACTTAAAAAATAAAGGAAAGATGACAGACATTAAATAATGGCAAAATATTTAATAGGCAGATGTTAGTTGATCTACATTAAAATTTAAGACTAAAATAAAACTAATTTTTGATTACATTTCAGCTTTTAACTCCTTTTAATAATTTACAAAAATATCCACCCAAAACTGTAGCGTTAATGAAATAAGAACAACTATTATTGTCTGGCTTCCAATTGTGCCTAGAAAAAGCAGAATATTATTATTACTACGCCGCATCTTTTAATTATTCTACAAATAGGGTAACATTTCAACTCCAGTATTAAATAAACAGAGTACACTTGGATTATTAAAAGCATTTTCTTAAAATAATCAATAATGTTACAGTTCTTCACTAAAAGAGCAAAAAAATTGCTTTACTTAGCCATCTATTTAATCTTAACTAAACTTAATATACTTAATGCCAAGGTTTTACTTATTTTTTTATTTTTCATGTGGGAAGGAAAATACTTAAAAACCTAACAATGACAGTCTGCAATTACAGATTGGATTAGGTTTTTCCCTAGGTTCTAGCTTCTAAAGATTCCAAGTACTATGTCATAACAGAGATTCTGTGAAGTAGTTTACATCAAATGGGAAACAAAATGTCTATTTTTGAAAGACGGAGGTTGCCCAAAAATAATTAAATACACGTTTAAAAACAAACACTGCCAAGTAGCTGACACCCAAAATCTGACCCACCTAAAAACTGAAGAATTATTCTATCAGTTTTCAAATCTTGCCATTTACACCCACACAAATCTTGCCAATAAATGCACTTACAGAAATATGTATATACATTACAGCATACTTGTACACATTTGTCCTGGGCTGGCCTGATAGAGTTGGCCAGCAGAGGGAGCAGAAGTTAATAAACCTTTTTCCTAGAACAAAGATGAGAATCATTCATGCTGTGTCAAACACGGAAGTAACTGAGAGGAACACCATCTTGGCTGTCCCATTAAAAAAAAAAAATGTGGTGGAGAAAAAGAAACTCTATGAAATGTTTTTGGTTGTTGTTTTTTTTTTTCCAAAGCAGATAAAAAACAAAAAACACAAACAAGTACATCAAGCTTACCTTTGCTCAAAAATATATGCATTTCTGTATGACAGAAAAATACATCCTTACCAGGAGCAGCAAAATACTTTCTAAACTTGTCCTCTATAACATTAATCTATTGTTTCTAAACACCTTTTTCTGCATTTTTGTTACTTATTTTAAAAAGTTTTTACCTGCAGGTTAATCTCTGCTTCATAGAAAGTTAAGCAGGAACAGTAGTGCCTCTCTGAGTCTATATCAGTCAAAACCACCACAAAGAACGTTGGCTGTTTTCTCTCTTTCGAAAGCTGCCATCCTCCAGGCTGGCAAAACTAATGAAACAAAAAAAAAAGAGACACATAGTTAACCAGTAATATCAATTATTTTAAGAAATACAAAAGATATTTTTAAACAAAGTAACAGAACATTATCTGAAACAAGCAGCTCATTTCATTTAAAGTGAACATATGCAGGGTTGCAAAATTTGGAGAAAATGGGGAAAAACCCAATAGGTCTTGGAGTTGGTCAGACTGATATAAATCTAGCGCTACAGACATCAAGGGAGATATAAAAATAAACTCTACAAACTGAAGATGTGTTCCATTCAATTCAGTATTCAAGATCATCTTGCAGGGTTTAACAGGCAACGACAAGAAAAAATTGACACATTATGCAGGTTTCATTTGGACAACAGGTTAGAATTTGAAGCTAAAATTGTTGTGCCTTCGAATGTCTCTACATTTTTAATTTCTTCATGTATTCTCCATTGATTTATCTAATCATAGATATTCCACTTACACCTACTTGCAAAATTATTCAGTACTTACTCCTACAAAAGACTATTTATAGAGCAATATTTTTCATCCATTTATTGATTACCTCTATAAACTTTATGGTGAACATTTGAAATTTTGTAAGAGGTCATACCATAGCAGCGATATAAGTTTTGCCACCCCTGTGAAAAAGACATTCAAGTTTCGTGACTTCGTAAGTCTCAGGGACAAAGAAAATCATTTGCTCCTCAGACTCAAGGAGGCTGCAGTTCTCCAAATACTTCATATGTACTTAGAATACTACATGTTTCCCAGCTCTTGCAGCAATGAGCAGACTAAATATGTGCAATACTTAAAACACACATCAAATAAGCCTAAGTCCTTTCAGTATTTGATCCTTCAAGCTAACCAGGCTATGGCAGCGCAAGTCACCAGAATCGAAGACAGCGATTCTGACCTCAGAACAGACATGCACAAGCAGCATGAACAAAAAGAGAATTACAGCTCAAAAGCAAAGGGAAAGGTGTATGGTTTTTCTTCTTTTTTAAATGACTGGAGTACAGCATCGGTTAATAACTTGTTCCCAGTAATGGAAGAGAGTGCTGAAATTCAGGAATCGGTTTGCTGAAGATTCTTGAGATGGCCTTTATGGAATTTTGTATTCACTGCTTCTTTTCCTTAAGGCTGAAGTCACATACATGAAAAATTCACAAGTACATTATTATTAGCAAAATTATAAACTTAGAGTTTACATGGGGCAAAAGTAATAACCCCTGTATGTATTAGGAATAATTAAAAAAACCCTAAACATTTCTAGAATTGTTAAACAATGCAGATACCAAAGGAACCAGAGAGATAGGTCAAAATGTCATGTTTCCAGCAATTGCTTCTTTCCCCTGGACAGCTGCTAAAAACGGAAAGAACATGAAGAGTAAGTTGTAAACAAACATTTACTACAGATTCATCTTTAGAACCTCTACAATAAAACCTGGGTAGTCTTAGGTGAACAGCAGTTAAAACTCTGCCTCTGATACACAATTTATTTTATGATCCTTTTGAAGATTTTATGGCAATATTTTCAAAAACGAAGTTTTCTCATGTTACATTCTTCATATTCTAGATAGTCAGCTTAACACTTCTGAGTCTGTATACTTAGAAGTGCTAAGCACCCCCTCCTGCATCTGAGAATAACTGTACTTTGAGAAAAGTATATCAAAAAGTACTTTGAAAAAGACATCCTAGTCATTCCATGCTAAGCATCCAGTATTAGTCCATGATTTTGATAATACTGGCCTAATCTCCCCTTGTTTTTCATCCCATGTCTGTTAAAAATAAGAAGATTCCACTATTAATCTTGCAGGACTGCTATAAAGATAATGTAATATGGTTGATATATACAGACATTATAACAAAAGCATCATTAAAAAGTTTGACAATAAATTCATTAGAGTTCTGTATGTATTGCAGAGTTTAGGTGGTGTGTGGTAAATGAAGCCTGGAATCTGTAGCTCAAATACGATAAAACCCCCAAAATTCTGAATAGCTATTTGTTCAATAAGTATGAGCCAAAATGCAAAGAATGCAGTAAGATTCTTTTAATAAACAACACCTTTCCATGGTATACCGTTAAAACTGAATCATCCATACAAAGTAGGTCAAATTAAGGTTGCTTATGCAGTCCTAGTTCTGGCACTTCTTAAGCTCTGAATGCTTGCGTTTACAATCTTAACATTCTTTCAGATCTGCCAAATCTACCAGTTCTGACAGGAAATCCTTGCTGGTGCCATTGCCCTTTAGCTTTATGGGTAATTTCCTATCTCACACCTGTAAGTAGCAATCTATCAGATTTTTGATTGTCTGGAATTCCTGGACAAGGGACCATTCTGCACACACCAAACACCACCCTACTAAAGGCACAGAAGAGCTGGTATATCCAAATAATCCACAAACAATGTATTCTGTGCCCGAATGAAAAATACGTGAGCTTGGGATGTGTGGCTTATGCATAGCTGATTTTCACATGACACACAAAGAATCTACCAATTTTGAACTCTGAGGTTTTGGTAGGTTCATTTTGAATATAGTTTTTGTATTTATTTTGAAATAAAATAAATTAAAAAAACATTCTTTTTATTGTAATAAGCCATTATTAGCAGGTCTACTGCATAAAATTTATACCAACATCTGCCCTGTAAACTGAGAAATGCAAAGGGAAAACCAACAGCTAAATTTTAACTATCAGAAGTGACTGTTCATCTGGGTAGGCTGCTCTCAATAGCAATCTCTCAATCTTTATGCATGTCTAAACCCTGCTCATGTCAGTGAGAATTCTTCCCGATTTCAAAATGATCTTGTGTATAACATATGCTTTCTAGATTTAACTATTTTACTAGGAAACAACAATTAGTGATTGTTAAGGAAAGCAGCTGAAGTAGAGTACACGCACTGCCTACACAGAGAATCTGTGTTTTCAAATAAACTGGAAGGAATTTATAAATACAGTGACCGAGGATAAAGACAACATGCTCCTCCAAGTAATTAAACAATGAATGACTCTCAGTTTCCTTAAAATAAGGTAATAAATATTAGTGTAATATTTGAAATGCAAACCACATTGAGAAGAACTTTCCAAATTAGTATAAATACAAGCTACTATACAGTATGATTACCAGCACAGTCTGGCCACTAAGAACAGCAAAATGTTTCCTTACCAAATCAGATGTTATACCAAAACAGACAAAAGAACCCTTGCAAATATAATTCAAAGGTCATGTGCTTCTTCAGTAATCAAGAAAAAACCCCTGAAGTTCAAAAATGAACACACTCCCATATTGTTTCAGTTATTTACCAGAATTCTTGGAACCAGAATGTAGCTTCTATCAAAGACACTGAAAATTAGAAAGAATCAAATTGTCCAACTCACTATTCATAGAAATAAGCTTCTAATGGTGGTGAGTGCTTCAAATCAACTCCACATTACAACTGATTCCCTTCTAAAATTTGGTGCAAATATCCAGAAGCTGTGCTGAAGAATATGTAACAAACATCTTATATTCAAGGTGCTGAAATTTCAAGCATTGTTTGAAACTACAGGTGCCCAATGAAGCAAAGAACTTGCTCTTAATTATTCCCACAAATGCTTTCAGACTAAACAAGAAACCAGACAGATTTAAAAATGATGCACAGTGTTTTAAAACAGTGTAGCTGAGTTTGTTACCTTTAAAAATTTTGTATGTCGTCACCACAAGCTTCTCTCTAAAGTCTAGACATAATTAATGGATGTTTAAAAATGACGTTTGTTTCTTCTAATTTTTATAAGCCAAAAATATTGTCTTTGCTTGATTCATAAATTTGTTCCTTCTTTCCTACCTAGAGCCATAGCTGTACTCCTACTCTTTCTCTTGCCTTTTAAAAGAAATCATTTGCATAAATCATATAGCATATACCTTATATATACTGTACATAGCTTTGGTGTCTGGAATCACAGAATCATAGAATATCCTGAACTGGGAGGGACCAATGAGGATTGAGTCCAACTCCTGACTCCACACAGGGCAACCTAAAAGTTAAACCATGTATCAAAAAGCATTGTTTAAACAGTTCTTGAACAACTACAGGCTTGGGGTCATGACCACTTCCCTGGGGAACAGTCTAAAGTCTGTTGAAAAATCAAAGACAATGTAAAAATAGTCACAATTTCTATTAAAGCACTGGAGGAATTAGCATGTAGGAGGAGGGCTTACTGGATATTGTGGAAGTAAAGACTAAATACTATTATTATACTGTACAGTATTTATATAGTGTTCAAGTTTCATTAAAGAAACATTTTAGTCATTTGTAACCTTACCATCGCAGTCTATATTATTTGCCCTCCATATCTGTTGATCAGAAATTGCATGTTAGAACTTTGTCATTTAACTCTGGGCTTGCACCCTGAGCCCAACCAAGTCAGTAACAAAAACTTGAACCAATATTCTAGTTGGGTCTGTGTGGCTACAGACAGGAAGACTGCTCTCTCTGCACTTTACATTGTTTTCTGTATCAACAATCCAGTCAGCTTTCCATCAGAAATCCACTACCTTTGATGGCACTACCAAAGTAGAAAGGGGAAAAAGCTTGTTCAGAAAGTTTATGACATGATACATTCTTTGCAGGTCATCTGTTGAAAGCATTTTTGGGGAAGTTTATACAAAACAGAAGACAAGATGTGTGATATACCATTACAGAACACTGCACTTAAATAATCAATTATATTTAAAATATATTGTCACATTATATATTTTCTTCAAAATATATTTGTGCACTTGTTTCTTGTTAAATAAAATCCAAAGCTATCTAGATGCACATAAAATAGAAAACATTTGAACTCTATTGACAAGACTTGAATTAAAAGATCCCAAAATGTCTTCAGAATTTAAAACGTGACACAGATATCCACCTTCCTTTCTAGTTTAACTCTTTCACCAAACATTTGATTCTCCCTTGGTTCTCTCTGGGCATAGAGTTTCATTTTATTAAGTCTGCTTCTGTAGGCTTTCTTTTCCTTTTCAAATAACTGT